CAATCCTGTGCAAATATCACAAGGCCTACATCTCAACTTTTGCCAAAATAAACAGCTTTTAACCCTTCAGGAATCACTTTGTGGGAAACTTCAGTTATGGTATGTGTCTGCACAAAGAATTCTGTATATCACTAAATAAAAATAACATGGTTTAACACATACTTCCTTTATTATCTTCAGTATAGGTCTGGAATATGTTTACATTGGGAAAGAACTTTTTAAAGAAGATAGGTAAATGGTTATGCATGCTCTGAAATAAAAATTAGTGCTTTAAAGTAATTGAATAAAATAAAAAAATTGTATTTCATTTCAAATTTGTCAACAAAACATATAAAAGCCTTAATTTGATTTTAGTTTAGCAGGCTGGATTTTCCTCCTTTACTTCCATTACTTTATGTGGAAGTGGGAGAAGAGAAGAGAGTAGAGAAGTATTAATGATGCAAAACAGAAAGAGAAAAATGTCATTAGATTTGAAATTATCGTTTCCATTATTGTGGCAACACCCAACTTCGGGACATGGTTTAGTAGACATGGTGGTGTTGGGTTGACAGTTGGTCTTGATGATCTTAGAGGTCTTTTCCAACCTTAAGATTCTATGATTCTATGATCTGACAGTAAGCATTTTAAAGAGTGACTTCCAATTACACATGGGTTGCCCATCAGTAACAGAAGTAATAGTTAACATGGGCAATTTCCTTAATGTACACGAGAGTATTTCCATGCTAGTCTGTTACCTAACTTTTCCTAAAAGTTGCCTTTCTTCAAGACTTGTTATTGATGCAGGTGTCAGAATATCTGTTAGTCCTAGGGAACATCTCCACGGCTGCATTGCACAGACCTAAGACCAGACGACTGAGCCCAGTGACCAACCCGTGAACCCTCAGACATCACCGGCGGGTCAGTGCTGGAGGGAGTGTCATTTCCTCACTTGTATCTCCTGGTGCCCGGTGTCCCCTTGACTTGTGGTTAAACTGAGATATAAATATACTGGAGGTGTGGCTACCAAATGTGATATTATAATTAAACAGGTCTTAGTGCTTCATTGGCTCTTTCTCAGCGTTCACTAATTAATCTTCCTTGCCCTGACTATGTCAGTTTATCTCTGCATTGCAGTTGGTGAGACCGAGGCATGGAGGTTAAATGTCTTGCTTGCAGCCCAGAGCAGAGACAGTAGCTGCCAAGTACTTTCTTAATGAGAAAGTCCGTCTCCTGTTTTTCACAGTTTAACTGTGGCCCTTACACTTGGAGGAATCCAATTTTGGCAGCCTGGTCTAGAAGAGTCGGGAGCAGCCCAGGGGTGGGGAACATCCTCGTCCTGTCCCTGCTCTGATGGCCCTTTGCTGCTTGGTCTTGCTTAAGCACCTTGCTACAGTTTTGTTTCTTGGGCATTAACTGGATATTCCGACAACACAAATTTCTAATGGCTTGTCAAGGTTTCCAACCCTTGCTTTCCATCTAGTCTCAGCTTTAGCTGCTTAACCTGTTGTTATTGTAGGTGTGATATAAGGACATGAGTGAGGCAAGATTTATGGAAGAGCTGTTATCTCTGTCATACCCATAGATGGAGGAAAACAGGGAAGATTTAGGCCTGTGACTCTCAGCCAGACTTTGTGATATGAAAGCGAAAGACCTTCCATTTTGTGTAGCCCAGAGGCTGATTCTTAGGCAGCCAAATCTGATAACGTGACTATTGCAGTTGGCACATTTTAAATATAAAAAAATGTTCTTTCTTCACAAGCCATAAGACTCTTAGTTACTTCTTAACATTTGTTCAAAGCTCTGTATTTAAAGTCGTTGTCATGTAAGTTAACTGCTGAAGAGCTCTTACAGCGTTCTCCACAGATAAGACTTAGACTTGTACTATAGTAGTTGCTCTTATCATCTCTCAGCATATGTACTTCTTGTGAGTATATCTGGAACCAGAATAGAAATTTTACAATATTTTCGGTGTTATGAGCTTCTTGCCTGAACTACACCTAAAAAGTAGCACAATTCTGTAGTTGTAACTTCAGCACACACCAAAACCCATGTGCTAGTACCACAAAGGAAACAACTCTCAGTATAAAAAAAATAAACTTGTGAAAATACAGTCAGAGAATGGAGAAAAATGTTATTTGACATGCTGGGTCTCAGTGAACGTTGTATTTCTTTTACCTCACCTGTATATGAGAAACTCATATTCAGAAGCATCTCAGCCTTTCCAGGGATATGGACAACTAAGAGAGACCCGAGCTGTCCTTGAAGTCTGTATTGAGAAACAGGATCACTCAGGTAGCATTCATCTCACCTGCTATTTTTTCTATTCCATATCAATAAGGAAGAAGAATCTTTTGAAATCCCCTATGAAAACAAGAAGTTTAATGCCTGGATACCCTGCAGTAGCCCAGCAGGATGCACAATGCTCCAGGGTGGCACTTCATGATGCAGAAGATCTCTTCCATCTCCTGCTGCTGCCGTGCTCAAACACCACAGCTGGATATCCAGAGTACAAAAGCTGTCTCTTTGGGGAGGGAGGTCTCCCAGAAATCTCTGACAGTAAAATCTTTCCTCTTTAAATATTCATTGCTCCAGAGAAAGAGGGAGGCAAGAGAAAGTGTGTGCATGGAAGGAGTTTTAACACACATCTCCTTGGTTGTAAGCAGAAATTAAATCTTGGGAAACATCCCAGAAAACAGCTGAAAATTTTGCCAAAATTATGTATCCTCCTGTAAGAGAACTGGGGTTTTATAGAATAGTATTTTCTGAGGAAAACTGGTTTATCAGGAGATTTTCACCCATCTTTGGTTTGAATTAGACTTTCTACAAATAACATTGTAGTTATAGGAGCCTTGAATAGTGGCACACAGTCATGATGTTGAAACTGAGCTTCAGGCAGGTAGAAAAACAAGGCTATTAGAACTAGTCATTGATATCCTGGAAACCATAAATTGCCTTAATTTAATGATATAAATTGCTTTAATATGATAGTAATTTGGCCAACAGACAGGATGAAACAACGGAGGGGAAGAAACCGCTACCAAAGTGTTTCTATATGTAGTGATTAGTTATTCATCCGGTATTAGCTAAGAAATTCTGTGCAAGCAAGTGTTAAAAACAGGCCAGGGTAAGCCCAGAACTTTTAATTTCTAATAAAAGCAGGAGCTCTTTATACAGGTAGCAAAATGAAAAACCAACGCAGCTGAATGTCTGGGTATGGTTCACCCTCTTGTGTTTTTAACCAGAACTGCAGTTCTCTGGAGAAAATTATTTTTACTGGTCTAAAATAGGAAGGGAAGGTGGTAAGTGGGATCAGTCCTGCTCAGGGCTGGTATCTGTGACTCAGGACCTATGGGAGACCAGCATCCATCTTGAGGAGCAGCTGGAGGTCCGTTGGGACACCCTAGGGCATCCTGCACGGCACCAGGGTGTATCACTGGGGAGAAGCGTCAGGGGGAAGGTTAGCGGGAAGGAGCTTCTCTGTTCAGTGAGAAGATGCTGTTCCAAGTGTTTGCTCATTTTTTAACATCTGTCAAGGTTTAAAAACTGTAAGAAGAGCTTCTATGCCCTCTGTATCTGCCTTTTATTAAAGTCAGATAAATAAAGATCAGATAAAAGCTATAACATGTAAAAACCCCCTGTAAGATGATTCTGCAGTACTGTTTTATCAATGTAATAGTACTGTCAGTGGCTAGACACGTGATTGTGATAATGCCCCTTACTAAATGGGTCAGAAAGTTTCTCCAAGTAACCGATGCCACTGATAGGCAACAAATCTAAGTCCTCAGTTCTGGGTCAATACACATACACAGTCCTTTGAAGTCATGCCCCGTGTCGTAAAGGGCCTGGAAAAATGTGAAATGAAAAACTTTACTCAGGGAAATGCATAATTAGAAGCAATACACAAACTAGCATGGCACTGTGACCACGAGCAGCAGATCCAGCTAAACTTCTCCCTAGGCAGAAGCTGGTGGTGTGCCTCCAAATAGAGGTGGGAGAAGGTACATCTAAGGCCCTCAGCTGAACTTAATCCTCTTGGAGACATCCTAAAGGTGTGCCCTGCTAGGAATAGGCACTAACATGGTTCCAGAAAGTTCTGGAGAAAATCAGATATTTTGATGTGGATTTTTGGGGACTTTTATCTCCTACTTTTTTTTTTTTTTAAAGCAACTTTTTTTTCTACATGCTGCAATATGAATTCCAAGCAACTGTGGGACTTACTTACTCATAGAGAGGATGGGAAGGGATATATATATCTTTCTTTTGTATGAATGCTTTTAAAAAGCTTCATATTTCTTGACTGTTGGTGCCATATGAAAAAATTATCATTTATCACCTGCATACACTGATGTATCAGAAGCCTTATGTTTAGGCCATAGAGTAACAGCTGGCAGACTCAACGTGTACCTCCTATTTTGGCTGTACAAACAATGCATCACTTTTTGCTTTGTCTTTCTTTTCCTGTCTCATCCCCATTCACATGAAGTATCAAAGAGCCTTGAAATATCCATAAGGAATTTTCCAAATGTAAAAACTGAGTTCTAAATAATTTCAGTGAAAAGCTCTGTTTGTGAACTGGTGGTAAATCATGTATTTATTTAGCAGGAATACATTCCATTGATAATCAAAGAAAAGGTAACAGAAGAAAGTTAAGTGGCATTTAACATATTCTGCAAAAAAACCCCAAACCTAAAGTGTTTTAAAAGTGTATTTCCCATTAAAGAGAAATGAATCAGTGGAAGATTCACTGCAAGGAAAACCACAAAGTAACACATTAGTAGCTGAAGCACGATTCCTACAAAGTCTAAAATAACATCAGAGGTTATTTTGAGCTATTAGACTTATTTAGGACTGAAGTAATGGTGAGATTTCAGAAAAAAAATGTTACCTATAGGTCAATATGAGCTGATGCACTGAGACTGAATACACTTCATAGTGGACTCTACTCTTTCCTAATAAGTAAGTCTCACAGCAGCTATAAAGACATCCAGCAGGACATTACATGATTTGCTTGGTGCATCTACAGGTAGCAGGACACTTCTGCTTCACCAGTGAATGGCCACAGCTAAACAAGGTTTTCAGATTTCTGCAGTTTCCAAAGTCATCTTGAAACTGGCAAGGATTGGCTGAAATACAAGAGAAAAACAAATCCATGAAATATTAATTGAAAACCAAGTCCTGGTCTGATACTTCTGCATTTTCTAAAAATTAAAAATTGTCATGTCTATATAGTCTTTGTACTTTTGCTCTGCTGTTGAAATTGCTTGAATATTATAGAAAAGAGAATGCAGGCAGAAAGGTGGTATCTTACAGTTCCCATCTATTTGTACGCTTTGTCTTGCTCCACATAGAAGGAGCCTGTGCAGATCTTCACGGACATATGGATGTGTGAGGCGTGACAATCTGTTTGTGCCTTTAGGTATAGATGTACATCAAGACACTTGGTCTTGACCATTCCAGAAGAGGGCAGCAGAAGATTGGTAGTGTGATAATGCACCTATTGCTCAGCAGCAGCACAATTTACCCATTACCATAGGATGGTTGAGGTTGGAAGGGACCTCTGGAGGTCATCTGGCCCAACTCTCCTGCTCAAGACTGCGCCTGTTCTGGTGGGATATTTAACCACTGTTATTTTTTTGGGGGAAATGAAAGGGACAGTTCTAGGATCTTTTGTTCAGATTAGCAGGAAGTACCTATGCAAAGGTAACATGCTACAAAGATTCAATGTTATTGTCTGAGGTAATGTAATGTTTGTTGTGAGGAAAATACATTCACTTACTGCAAAGCCCTCTGTCACAGTGGCCGGGACAGTCTGCACATTTTGGTCCGCTTTTGTAAGGTGTAGCTATTTGCATTGCGTTATTTCCTCTGAAATTTGGAAGAAATACAACACAACACAAGATCAAAGTGCATCTCTGAGCCGTTAACAGGAGTTATTTATCACAATGAAAGGCATCTAGAAGTCTTTGGATGAAATTATTTTCATAGACAGTCATAGTTTAGTTTCAGATATTCATAGAATACAAGAACTTTGATTTTAAATATAATCATCATAGAATCACGGAGTGGTTTGGGTTGGAAGGGACCCCAAAGTCCATCTAGTTCCAACCCCCCTGCCATGGGCAGGGACACCCTCCACTAGACCAGGTTGCCAAAACCCCCATCCAACCTGGCCTTGAACACTTCCAGGGAGCCAGGGGCAGCCACAGCTTCTCTGGGCAACCTATGCCAGTGTCTCATCATTCTCATCATAAAATTTTTTTTCCTTATATCTAACATAAATCTGCCCTCTTTCAATTTAAAGCCATTACCCCTTGCCCTATTGCTACATGCCCTTTTAAAAAGTAATGAGGGATAATAAGGTTTAAAGAGAGAAAACTAATCATTTATTTCCATTTGTATTGCATTATCAGTTAAAAAATGTATTTTATGTGCTTCCTAATTCTGTTTTTCTAATGGCTTTCAAGTGATTGTGGCTTAAAAGGAAATAACCTCAGCAGATGCCTTCTGACGTGTGGCTGTTTCAGATGTTCTCTTTACTTCTGTGAATATTAATTTGATGTTGGCTTTCACTTTGCATATGACTTTCTTGTTTGTGGTCAAAATTATAGGATGATTTCTGCATGATACCTGATACTGACAGCAACAGACCTTTGTTCATATGCTAAAATTTCCCTAAAATCTGTTTAAAAGTAAAAAAAAATAAATATTACTATTTAGCGTACAACCCATCACTATTTTCAAAATTATCAATGGTTAAACCAAACTGTAATAATTTTATCCTACACATGACCAACAGACCACAGGAGTTTTAGCAAACATATCCATAATCATTCCATCTTAAATGAGTAAAAAAGGCAGTACGTACGGAGGACAGTATTGGCAGACGTAAAAGTAGTTGAACTGGTTCCTAGGACAGTAGGCAACTGCACATCCAATCTGATAACTGTTGTACCAGATTAGCTGTAGAAAAAAAATAAACACATTATTTTAGAGTCATGTTTTATTGAGTTCTCATCAAAGAGCTCACAAAATAACAGAACCAGAAGATATCTTTTTGTTTCATTTTGTCCATTTAGCTTTTAAATGTACAGTTTAGCTGTCAGAAAGTATAAATAGAAAAATGAGTTAATCATCATGTCCTCCAGGTTCCAAATTTTTTTGAACATAGTTTCTAGCAGGACACTAAAGTTTGATTCAAACATTTTCATAGTAGTCATTTTGTTTTGACATTTTTTAGTCAGATATTTAAATTCCTATATAGGAAAATATTTATTTCTAATTTAAAGGTATTGATTTTTTTTCTCCTACTGAATAATATTTGTCTTTTGGACAGCTCTTCCAAAATACTTGTTCCATTGCCTCAGAATTAGATGAAAAAGAGTTCTAATTTATCATTCATTTTTGGTTCAGAGTGTGAATGATAGATAATGGTTTGATGACAGTGATATTTTTTTTTAATGATAAATATCTCCCAGCTCCCTTAAGTATGCTCCTGTGATTCTAGCGTATCACTGCAGCTTGTTTCAATTCTCCATACCTGACTATAGTTCTCGATATTGACATTTTTTGAGGTTGCTCCATATCCATACTTGAAATTGGAGGACTGACTGTGCCAGACTTGAATTGCATCAGCCCATGTTCTTGGGTAAGATGATAGTAATACATTCTCACCGCAGGTGGCACCTGAAGTAGAAGTAAGTTTATTTTATTACTTAGGAGAGAAGCAAGCTGTAGGGTGGGAGGTAGGACAGAGGAGTTGTAGCTTTATCCTAAAAAAATCTCTAGTATGCCAACCTATTTGCCCTGTGATTTTAAGAAGTGGACAGTACACCTGATCCTATGAAAGCTGCAGGAAATGTTACTCTGATCTTTATGAGCTTTCAGCTACAGATACTTATTTGACTACAAAATGTTACACAAAAGTGTCTGTACTTATTCATACCAACAGTCATCTATTGCCCTGTCTTGTCTCCAGCAGGAGCCAGAAGTGGACATTTCAAGAGAAGTACAAATATAGGGCAAGCACATAGCATCCCTCTCTCTCGAGTTCCAAAAATTTCTATTTCAGGATATTTATCTGACAAAGATGATGTTTTTGTATTTACTAATCCTAAAAAGATATTCTACAAGAGGTTAAAAGTTATCCTTATTTCTAGTTCACAGGAGTCATCTGCAAATTGTCATTAACCCTTCAGCTTAGGCTCCGTATTTGTCATGTACCATTAATGACTCTCTGATCTCTTGGACTGATTTTCATCCCACACTTATTTGCCCATTTCTGAGCATTTCTGGCGGCTTTCTCACTCCACACCTGAAAAACACAAAGGAAAAAGTATCCAGGTCACAGATAGATTAGTGCAGTTCATGAGAAGAAAAAAAATGGGGAGTTACTTGGGCGTTGTGTGCTGAATGCTCTGGTAGCCCTCAACAGAAAGCAGAGTCGTTGTGCCAGTTTACACTACTGGGGCACAGGCACCACATTTTTTCAACTCTTAAAGGCTGCAGAGCAGGTTATCCTGCACAATATCACACAGTCCTGATCTCCAGATGGTCCTAATTAATAGGAATTTTATAACATACTGATACTTTCTTTTGGCTTTGTGTCTGAGTTAACTTTGCAGGGTGCAGTGTGCTAAATGGTATAAAACTGGTTGTGAGCCCAGGTGCAGCTGAGATGTAGCGACAGATACCAGCTGGACTTTGAACCTGGGGAATGCCTGCAAGTCTTACTGTGCAGACTTAACCATAAAGCACTGACCAGCTCACCTGCTCATGGGATAGGGATACCAAAGAATATCTGGGGTGACAGGGATGAGAGCAGTGATGGGCAAAGCAAGCTCAGCTGAGGACAAAAAGCTATGCAGATCTAGGTCTTTTTTGCCCCCCGACTGTGCGATTCAGAAGCACGCTGCTGCTCGTGCTTCTACTCCACCTTTGCTTTACATAGTATTTCCTTTATGCCAGGCATGTATTTCTCTTCCTCTAAGGAAGCTGCTTATCCGACAGACTGAAGAGTGCCGCCCATCACTGCATTTTGTACCCTATCCCCAGTTTAAATGCTTTTCCTGGAAAGGCTTGCAGTTACTGTCTATCGTAATGAACAAACATAAAGCAAGATCTTGTGATTCACTGTGCAGGCTATGTTAACATAGTTTTGACAGCAATAATAGATGTGGTTGGGGCAAACCTGTGTTCATGGTTACTGTAGACAAATAACCCTAGGCATGGAACAGTTTCTATGTTGCTTAATTGAGTTTTTCTAAGTGGAGAAATTAAGACGTTAGTTTGGAGAGAGGTTTCACATATGGCCCATCCTGAGACCTTTGCAATGATTTTACAAGTGCTTGCAGTATCAAGGTGTGCAAAATTAAGCATGAAACCTACAGAAACAAAGGGATAAAATTCTGACTTCATCTCAATCCCAAGCACCTTTCCTGCCCTCTCTGTTCACTGACTGTGGGATGTTAAGGAGGCTACAATCTTCTGCTAATAATGTGGAAAGCAGGCTAGTTGCAATGCATAGTTTACCATCTTCAGCATGTTCCTGGCCGTGGGAATTACAGATCTCCGTATTTCATTGTGTTGGTCAACGATCAGCTTTCGGTTTTGAAACTTAAAATGAGGAAGGGAGGGGATGCCATTTTGTTTATACTGAAAACCCTGCAAAACAATAATAATAAAAGTTCCAGTTATCCGAAGTTTAATAAGCAAGATAAATTATGAGCTTCTTGTCAAAGTAAAGCTTTGCAGAAATTCCCAACTTTTCTTTATTGGTTCTTCTATTCCCATAATTGCTGGTATTTTTTTTTTCCTTCCTTGATTTGAACTGCACTTTTCATTAGGAGACGTGACCCTAAATGAAATTTGTACATAGGAATTCTATCTTCAGATGTCTCCACATTAAACGTGGAGAAAGCTTAGCTCTGGAACCAAATCTCAAGACTGGTTTAGACCTCTTGTGTGCACTAAAAAAGTCCCTAGCTCTTTTCAGTTGTAAACTTTGGAAGTATGTGAAGCTGGATCAGAACTTAGGACTGTTTGCAGACCATCGTCTGAAATACCTAAGGTCAAGGAAGCAATCAATAATTTATATTGTCTCTTACATAGTAAATCCTTGCAGAGAAAAAATGCTGCAAAGCTTACATTGGAATTTTCAGAATAGAACATCCCTCAGGAAAAGATTCTTCCCACTTAATGTCTAAAAATGAGACATCTCAGTCTAAGCTAGACACTTTCACTCCTCATCGTTACTGGAGAGGGCAGAAGTAACTCATCCCGCAAAATCTGAACTCTTTTTCAGGACTGGAAGAACCATTCTCTATAAGTATCTCTTTCTTCTTCCTTTGGTTGTAAGGAGAGCCTGACAGAGATCTGGACAACTAATACTTTGCGTCAGTGAGATGAATTCCACCATTAGTGTAATGGTCTCTTTTCTAGGCACTAGTTCATCTTATTTAATTTTAGATATCTGTACCATAGACGTAAATATCTAAAAGTCATCTCAGTTTGCCTTTACGGTCAATGAGAAAAGCATAAAAAGAGAGAGACTAAATTCTGAAATGTCCAAGTAATGTGAATCTCACTGCTTTGCCTTCAGAGCTTAATTGTAGGTTTTAAAGGCTGTAGTCAGTGGCTTAAAATGGCACCTAATGCCATTTGCAATGCCCAGAGAGCACTACCTAGCCTCAGACTGCTGCTCCAAAAAGATATAGCTGTCTGTACAGCCATCCATGAACAGCTCAGATACTCTGGAGACTCTCAAGCTGCAAGAAGACACTTCTGTTTGGGCAGCTGAACCTACCTCAAGAGGTGTCATACATCTTATTTAACTTAAGACTTTTACAGTGGTAGAAATATCATCTCAGCCTGTTATTTTAGGCTGCTGCTATACTCAGGTAAAGGAAACAAGCAACGTAGCACCTGACATTTATTGAAGAGATGATTTGCATCCCTGAAGTACTTATTTCTTTTCATTCATTAATAAGCAGACCTGGATAAATAGATCTACATAGTAGATATCTACATCTTACAAGATTAATCCTCTCTAAAGAAGAGTGAAGATTAGATTTCTGCTACTTAGCAAAACTATTTTAGAATAGCTTCAATTCATTTTTTTTTAAATATGTTTTTAAAATTAGACCTGTGAAGAGAAGAATGTTTTGATCAGCAGAAGAAATATCTTAATACAAAAATCTTTGAAAAATCAGATTTCATCTTTATTGTGTTATATTAACATGTTGACAATAATTTAAACTGTGAATTATAAAGCTCTAGAGATCACTAGACCAGACTACACTATGATGTCAGATATCTATACAATGTGCTCAGATATGGCCCTTTTGCATAGATGAATGCCCCTACCTGTCCATCAGATTGGTGTAGCAAAGCAGCCAGGAAAACAATTGCAGTTAGTAGATCCATTTCTGCCGAGAAGAAGAAAAACAAAACAAAACAAAATCCATTAATCTCTGTGGCATAAAGTTTGTGGTGTAATGTGGTATGTGAGCAAGGTACAAAACTGTTGCAAAGTCAAGCCTGCAACACAGAAGATGATTTTAGTTGATACCTCACACAGCTGAATGTGCTGAAACTGTGCAGATGAGTATATGATGGTGGATGGGCACCACCGTCTTGTATAGAGAGGACTCCAGCTTGCATTGAAACAGGGTCTGTAAGTAGCATAAAGTTGCATAAAGTTGCATGCCCCTTGTAACAGGTGGACCATCCCCCTCTTGACCTCTTTATTCAAGATATCTTAAATTTGCAACATTTCCTTCATCTTTATGTCCTTGTATAGAAAAACGCCCATTAATTTATTCAGTAGGGTCATATCAGTGTCCTGCTCAAGCAAGCATCATCCATAATGGGAACTGGTATTTTGGAGTGGAGCACTGAACATCAACAGTTGTCTCCATTTCTTTCCTGTTCCTTGTTTCCTCTTTAAATCAGCATCATTATCACAGAATCATAGAATTGTTTCATTTGGAAGGGACTTTAAAGATCATCTAGTTC